GTGATAATGACTTTCAGAATCTCCAGTAGTGTTCAGTTCCAGCTCCAGTCCCTCAAAATCTATTAACTTCTGTAACAATCCACTTGCCTCATTCCCTACATTGGTCATACTTGTTGTTGATAGTTTCCACGCTCATCTGCCGTCTCAGATATCGATATATCTGCGTGACTCTTCAGACATGAGAGGGTCCAGGTGATCGCGCGGCCTGGCCTTCGCTGCTTCACTCTGCGCGTTTTGGCCAGGCCATCGCGCGGCCTGGCCTTTACTGCTTCTCTCTGCGCATTTTGGCCTGGCCTTCATCGCTTCTCGCGTGTTGAGGGGCTGCCCCCTCTGAGCGTTTTGGCCAGGCCATCGCACGGCCTGGTCTTCGCCGCTGCACGTTGAGGGGCTACTCCCTCTGAGCGTTTTGGCCAGGCCATCGCGTGGCCTGGCCTATGTTGCTTCTTGCGCGATGAGGGGCCGCCCCCTCTGAGCGTTTTGTCAATTCTTGCTGGCCTTCGTTGCTTCTCTATGCACGTTGAGGGGCTGCCCCCTCTGAGCGTTTTGGCCAGGCCATCGTGTGGCCTGACCTTTGTCGCTTCTCGCTGTGCGTTGAGGGGCTGCCCCCTCTAAGCATTTTTTCCAGGTGAACGCGCGGCCTGGCCTTCGCTGCTTCTCGCTGCGCGTTGAGGGGCCGCCCCCTCTGTGCATTTTGGCCAGGCCATCGCGCGGCCTGGCCTTCACCACTTCTCGCTGCGCGTTTTGGCCTGGTCTTCGTTGCTTCTCGCGCATTGAGGGGCCTCCCCCTCTGAGCGTTTTGGCCAGGTGATCGTGCGGCCTGGCCCTCGCCGCTGCGTGTTGAGTGGCCGCCCCCTCTGAGCCTTTTGGCCAGGCCATTGCGTGGCCTGGTCTTCGTTGCTTCTCGCGCGTTGAGGGGCCGCCCCCTTTGAGCGTTTTGGCCAAGCCATCGCGTGGCCTGGCCTTCGTCGCTTCTCGCGCGATGAGGGGCTGCCCCCTTTGAGCATTTTGGACAGGCCATTGCGCAGCCTGGCCTTCGCTGCTGCAAGTTGAGGGGCCGCCCCCTCTGAGCGTTTTGGCCAGGTAATCGCGTGGCCTGGCCTTCGCTGCTTCTCGCTGAGCGTTTTGGACAGGCCATTGCCTAGCCTGACCTTCGCCGCTGCGCGTTCAGGGGCCGCCCCCTCTGAGCGCTTTGGCCAGGCAATTGCGCAGCCCGGC